ACTTTACACGCAACGCTAATCCAAAAGGATATTAGACAGCTGCCATAATAATTACAGGTACTTTGATGTCAAGCTCTCAGAGTGCTTTTTTGAAAGCAAAACTGCGCAACTTTCACTTTAGCCGGAAAAACACCTTTCAAATTACAAAGGCAACTGGACCGTAAATTACATGAGAAGGGCAAATCTGAAAATATGCTTGTATTGTGTTGAAAGACCAATCTTCCATACGACAACACTGAAGTATGTCTATATACACAGACCTGAAGGTAACAAACAGTACAATTAGTATTAATAGACCAACCCACTAGTTAAAATTGAAAGGATATAGATGCTGAGCATTGCTGCCGAAATGAGTGCGTCAGCAGCTCCACTTCTTCCCTCGTCTTGATTTCATTCTTAATAATATATTGCAAGTTTAAAAGTCATTGCTGAAGCATTCAACCCTGTGTTCCTAAAAGCCAGGTTATAACCCGATGCCAGCCTTGGCCAGATCGCACCATCCTCTCCCTCGGTGAAGTGCCAATTTCCTCAAACCCACAATTGTGGGGTTTTTTTTAATAGAGTATTCATCACCAGATATCACCCACCAGCTCAGTAATACTAAGCTCCTAATTAGCATCGCTGAAACATTTCTAACATTCAGCACGCTTCTTGCTCTAAAGAGGATGCTAAGATGGGGCAGAGCCTAGCAAAAATGAAGACCAAGAACGGAGAATGGAGATTGATCAACTTTCAGCTTTTCCTATAACTGGAGTTTCAGGGATGGGGAGATAACATAGCAAACTGGCTTTCTGCTCAAAAAGATATGAAATTACTAAGTCAATTACCTCAGCTCCCTTAATGTGTTACCAGTCAAGGGTACCGTATTTCTGCTAACCAATTCCTAGACCTCAAGTCACTGGTCTAAAGCTCGTGCTTCTGCACAGCCGATCACTTCCCGCTGCTTCTAAGCATTCCTCAACAGCCCCTATGAAATTACTCATCAGTGACCAGCAAAGCAGCTAGAAATGGATAGTCAGCAGCTGTTTACTGCTCATTCTGAGGAATTCTTCCTCAGAATTTTTCCCATTATTTTAATGGGTGTAAAAGCAGCAGATTCTTACTGTCGCTTGCAAAGCAATTTCAAGAGAATGAGACATACAGGCCCTGCAAAGATCACCTCACCCCTCCTGCAGCAAAGAGCTCAGCGCACCTTCAGTAACAAGTGAGCAGCAATGAAGGCCGACCCCAAACAGGCTAACCTGACACGGAGGGAACTCCCCGCTGCAGCCTGGGCTCTGCGGGGGGCTGCCATCACCCCCTCGGTGGTTCTTGTACTACGTGAGAGTCACATGGGGCTCGCTAGAAATTTCAGATAGCGTTACAGCAACCGATCAGAAAAAATACAGGCCGTGAGCCTTTGAAAATAGCAATGACAAGGCCCTACGCTATTCCACTATGCTGCTATGTTTTCAAAAAGGATTTCTAAGAGTTAAAAATTCCAGTCAGCAACTTGGAAAGAAGGCCGGGGCACCCACACCCAAGGCAGGGATTAGCTGGTTCCCATCACAAACCGCCTCTGCCACCCCCCTTCCAGCTGGGGAAGCTCCTCTGCCCTCCCCCGGGCGGGCAGCCCGGCGACACTCACGCAGCTTCCACGCCGTCTTAGTGGTGACGGCCACGGCCATGTCTCCGCGCGGCGCCCCTCCCGCGGGCGGGGG